CACAAGTGAAAACATCAATCTGCAATATAAGAAAAGAACCTCCGAGCCTCGGAAGCGGAAAACCCGTTTCTTCCCAGGTCCCCGTAAAGGGACCGGTGAGGAGACTCATTACCACCAGCTGAAACAGATGGTTTCCTTTAACTTTGCAAAGTGCTATTTTTAATTACTTGTATTAATTTTGCATGAGATGTATCGGCTCTAAGATGAAGCTTAGAGAAGGCTCTTAGCATCCCTGCAAGAAAACGGACCCGAGGCTCTGATTGCCCTTTCTCGGTTTTCCTGCCCTCGCCCTCTGCGCCCCCACCTTCCCCCTCCCAGGCTCAGGGGAGAAGGGAGCTTGTCCTCCTAAAAGTTGTGACGGAGTCCAGGAGAGGTTTGTGAGAGTGTTTACATAAATCATCTTCGATCCGGAGCTGCAAATATGTTTTCCGAGCCACTTTGGGGCATGTGCAGCGGATCTTAGCCTGAATCTCTGCAGGCAAATCATCTAATGGAGAGTGAACCTTTGGAAGGTTTCGCTTGGAATATAACGAGGGGGCCAGAGCAACCCAGGCTGGTTTCAAAGATTTACAGCAACACGTTACATTTCTCTTTCACATTTAAATACACCGTTCCCGCGTCCTTGAGGGTAAACAGTAACCTCCTGGTTTAAGGGAAGAGCTTGCTCTCCTCCTCACTAGTCTTAGCCCTGCGACAAGAGTTTACAGACAAAATGTAAAATAGAAAGTAAAGAAGGATGTTTGTGATCCGCCCCTGGCACTGTCCCTACAGGGGAGTGTTTGTGCTCTTAAAGGTTCTCGGTAAAATAGTCTCAAAAGTCACTCAACCTTTGGAGGAAAGGTTTTATTCCCTTTTCCAGGTGAGGGGAGAAGAGGGAGGGGGGCGAGGGGCATCTGGTAGGTGGTTTTGCAGCAATCCCCACTGGGAAATTTGAGGATAAAAACTTTGGAGTGGCTTTCGAAGCCACTTCAAAGGTCATCTGGGTTTGCCTTTATTTTTTCAAAATCACATCCATGCAGATGTGCAGATCTTTTTGCAAAAGCAAAGAAAAAGTTGGACAGTGAAGGGTGTGCAGCAAGTCCCTAGGGTTCCAAAGATCCTGCTAGTACATCACGATGGTTGAGCCCTATGAGAAACCAACTAATTCCAAAGAAATGTGTTTCTTTGGTATAGGGCAGCCTCTTCTTCCAAGTCCCATCGATAAAAATTGCCAAGGAATGCAGTGTCTAGGTCATGCAGAGCTAAGGATCAGGCTTTGCCCAACTTTAAGCAGGCAGTCGCTAGCCTCTGTCCATGGTGCTAGTCTCTCCGTTTCCTTGTTGAGATGGTCTGAATCCATACTTGTATTCTTTTTAGACAACTTTTTTTTTTAAGTGTTCTAAATTGTTAAATAAAAGTGGCCAAACTCCTTATGAAGAAGGAATAAAGGAGTAATCAAGTTACATATCATAAATTGTTTGTGCAGTGTATTAATGAAACCAACATATTTCCAACATGATGATTACAACCCCCCACTAAATTAACCCAGAACAACATTTTTATTCACCTCTGAGAGAACAGTATTTGGAATTATTACCCTAAACCAAACATTGTAAATCCACTGACATAGGCTAACTATTTTATTTATCTTTTTTCTCTTTTTTAAAAAAGTTGCAATGGTCGTTGAAAGCTCACCTTTTATTATAAAATGCTAAAATTAATCACCTTTTCCACCCCAAGGAAGACTAGTGTAAGGAATTATTTATCCTAAGAGTTAAGGCCTACAATATACCATGAGTATTCCTGTGAATGACTTCTTTCTTAGAGTAATGTTAATAAAACAATCAGTTGAATTATTACTTTTTCTTAGCAAGGGGGAAAAAAAGCAATTTTTTACACATCAGACTTTTTTTCTGCAAGCTCTCAATGAGTTCCTCTATCTCTGATCTTTTTCCTCAAACTGCCAAGGACTTTGAAGATACATCAGAGTTAACATGACTAAAATCATAACTCAAATGCCTTTTAAACACTTTTATCTAATGAAAGTTCAGATACTGTGTAAAATGAAAATTATTTGGTCTAGCAAGGAATCTGAACTTATCTGGGGTTAACTGCAGGTTTTCATTATTTTTTGTATGATGTTTACACATAAGCCTTACAATTACAATTAATCAATTACAAGATGATATATATTACTGATTTAGGTTAAGGCAGCATGAATTTCAAAGTTAAAGTCACATCCAGATATCACTTGTTTTCAAGTGTCTGGATTCTGTTTTTATTTTTAAAGCTTTGAAAAGAGTATGCTACTTTAGATATATCTGTTCATTTAAAAGTTTCTTAAACTTAAAAACATTACTTAGGGAGGTCACCTATTATTTTTTTAAAAATTCTTAAATAGCTCTATTTCACTTACACAGAGAAGATAACATGTTAAGATGGTAATATTCTGAAAAACATTTGTTCTCGGCAAACTAGGGAAGAAAACCATACACGGAATCTGCAGAATTCTCATTGACATTTACCATTTTCATTACACATTTTCCATATAATCTCTTTACTTACGCAGCACAGGTGCTGGATATTCATAAACCTATACTGCCTCTAGCTTTCCACACTTCCTCCAATCCTTTTGGAAAACATAGACTACAAACTATGTATCTTTCTTGTAGACAAAAACATGCACCCAAAATATGAAAAAATATTAGTTTCCACCCACTTAGAAGGCACTTAAAGTTAATGGTAAAGATAATCTTTCAAATACTGACAATATTACATGAAATACATGCGATTAATTAAATATTAAATTAAGAACAAGTTTTAACAAAAGGAAAAGATAATTTATAGATAAGTCTGATACAATTAAGTAATATTGTATTTTTGTTCTGCTTGCAACTTCTTTAAGATTTATTTCTGTCTTGAGCTGGAGTTGGGAAGGGATGTTGAGAAGTATGACAACAAGCTCATTTTTCTGCTTCTTCATGCAGTGATTAATCTATACTGGATGGGAAGAAGTCTTTTCCTTCATTTTTCCTTCCCGTACTTTCTTAACTCCACTGCCTTAAACTTCTTTTCCCTGCCAAGAATGCTACCCAGGTCTAGAATAGTGTTTAAGTTGGAACTGGGCCTCCAGAGACTATTCTATAAACAGTGGAGTTGGAGGTAAGGCCTGATTATCATAAATGTTACTTTTTAGATAACACATAGACTCAGGCCTTCACTCCTCAACCTGGTAGATAGTGGCATGTAAAATAGTAGAACTCAGGCATTAATTTTATGGACTGTAAGAAGGGGAAATAAACAGGTCTTTGGTTCTTTGCCATTCTAATTCATTAACAAAGGACACTGTCATGGAACACTGACTTACTTGATTCCTCATGTCCAAGTCATTTTGCTCTGGGACCATTGCCTTGTTCTCCTCCACCATCTTGCCCCATCTTCTTGCAACCTTACCTCTTACCTCTGCCTTCTTTCGCCAGCATTCTCAAAGGTAGTGTGACCAGTGTACAACAAATTCCTCTCAGAAAGGCAAACGTCTTTAAAGAACATATTTGACATCACAACAACAACAACATATAGGAAATATACGTACGCTCTAGGAAGTTGAAACAAGAAATTCTGGCTGAAAAAGAACGTAAGTCAAGAAAATGTTGTCTATACTTATACAACAAGAGCATTCCAAGAACCACACTTTCACTTAGAGGGAGAAATAAGTTGCATGAATAAAGCTTCATCTATCCTCCTGAATGTTATTAAAATGTGGAGTTGCACTAATATAGCCTTCATTTATAAAGCAGAAGCATTGACAGCATTTGATCTACTGGTTAAACTTTGCAAATTCTCAGAGAAAGAACCCTGATAAAGGTTCAACTATCTTAACGGTCAGCAATACATGTGTGGTCCAAGAGCTGTACCGCCAGCAAATCCCGAGGAGTGGCTTGTTCTAATTCTATATACAGCTGCTTTTTTCCGAGAGTCATCATAACATCTCAAAGTGAAGGACTTGAGATTGAGTACTTTTTTTTTTTCTGGACACGATGTTTATTCTACACTTTTCTATTTTAACATAAAATGAAAGCTAATTAAGACAGTGCAGCTTTATATCAAAGCATTTCTGATTTCATTCAGATCCTAAAAAAATAAATAAAAAAAAAAAAACCATAAAACGAACAGAAACGAGATCTGCAAAGGCATATATTAACATAAAGAAAGACAAAGTTGACTAATATCTAACACAGAATACTGGAACACATCGAAAAAAGCATGCGGGCAAGTAATGGATGTACGTACATTCATCCCTTTTACTTAGATCAAAGAGAGCTCTCAATGACTCATACATACCGGACAGAGTTTAATGTTATATAGAAACATGCCATAGATGCGGCAGTGATGGCAAAAGAAATAGATCTTTCGGAAGCAAAAAGATTTAAGAGGAAAAGGAGATCGTGCCATATCGCAAACTCTGATAGTACAGTTTGAACCCTCCCACGTTGCTCTCTCCTCATCTCTTTTTTGCTGCTTGCATTTCCCTTCGCCGCCAGTGTTAAGTGTGTACCTCCCCGCACAACTTACCTTGAAACGGGACTCCATTGAGCTCTCAGGAGTGACAGGCGATCTTCGCCAATGATACCGCGCGGCCTCGCCTGGGCGGCCTCAATGGAAGCCTGCGGGCCAATCAGATTCCTGGGCAGATCAGCAAGTTGCGTTGTGTCGCGGGTCGGCGTATACTTCCGCGCGTGCTGCCCGGGATAGGAGCCTGGCAGAGCAGCTGCACACACGGCAGTGCGGAGGCAGAGAAGGGGTTGGTGATACGGTGCTATAAATCTGTGGTCCAGTCCACCTCCCTTTTAAGACGTCCTCCCCCCTTATTTCTGTTCTCACACAGAGATGCAGCAGCTTACTTCTGTAGCGACCTACTAAAAAGCAACAAGGAGAAAGACATCGTCTTTTTGAAAAAAACGTTCTTTCGTCTCTTTGTTCCTTCGTTTGTTTTTCTTGCCCCTTTTTGTTTAGTTGAACAGCAATAGGAGGGTAGTCTCTCCGTCTTTTTAAACTCTCTTTTTTAAGTTTCCCCTCCCCTTTCATATTTTTTTTTTTCGCCCTTTCTTTTAGTGTTGGACTTTGGGGTCGAAAGCATTTCTTTTTATTTGCTTCTTTTAAGCCGAGCACAGTTTAGGTTTCGTGCTGTCTTAAGAGAACTATCCAGCAGCTTCTTGCTCATCCTTATTGGGAGAACTGCACCGTTACTTTAAAAACACACATACACAAAAACCTTAAGGGAGAAAGGTAAGTTTCGGTTCGGTTTCTTTAATCATTAGTTGCAGCGATGCGCTGGCAAACCCAGAAAACCTGTAAGTGAGCGGAATGCAGAATATGAAGTTAATTGCACATGTTTTCTCATTTCAAAGCTCCTCTAGCTTTTAATTCTAGCGAGGGAGAGGAAAATACGTTGGACGCATGCTTAACGTACTGAATATTCTCAGATGTCAATGGCAGAAACTCAAGTGGTGAATGTGGCCAGGATAGATCAGGCTACAATGGGAGGCTAGATGTTGAGCGAGCCTCCGGATTGAGGTTGGAAGTTCATTTCGTGGGAAAAGAGGTATAACTTGGGCGTTGGGGGATGCATGCCTATAGTTTTGTAAAGCAGATGAAGGACCAGAGAGCCGTTAAGGGGCATAAAAGGGAATCAGGAGCCTGGACTTGCAGATTAGACCCGCTAAAGCCCGGGCTTAATTGCATTAACCAGATCGCATGTGCTGGGGAGATGGGATTGCCAGATGGAATTTAGATGCTGCACCAGGCAGTGAGTTGTAGTTGACTGAGAAAAGTACATGCGGCTTGAGGGCTTGGGAGCTGGGCTGGGGTAGTTGGAAGCTGTCAGAACTCGTCACTGCTAGGTATGTGGGTTCGAATTCAGGGACGTGGTACCGTCTTTTTTTTTTTTTTTTTTAATAATCAATTTTGGGGCCGAATTCTTAAGCCTGAACCGGATATGAGATTCCCTTTGTTCAGAAAAGCGTAAATAAGAGCCTCGGAGCTGTGCCTGTGAAGTGGCGGCTGCCTGGAAAGGCTCGCAGGGCTGGGCGCGGGGAAGTGGCTTCCAAGCTCTGTCCTTGGTCCTACGCATCTGACTTCGCCCGCTGAGCGAGGGGAACCCCTTCGCCGCGCCGGGGCGCGCAGCCACCCCGGGAGCCGCTCGGCGGCGTGGCCCTCCCCCACCCGCCTCCTCGCCGCCCCTCTTCCTCCAGCAGCTATTGTTAAACTGACGCCTGGAGTGCGAGGGTTGGGGACCGGGCGCTGGGCGGACACATGTTTCATTTTAACTTTTGCGATGTCTCAGGGTTTAGGGGAAGCCAGCGAGGCTTTGCAGTTGCAAAGAGAAAAGGGACTCCAGGGGGGCGGTAGGAAAGGGGGAGGACGCGCGCGGGGCGAGGAAGGCGGAGGGGCCGCCGGTGGTGGTAATGGAACGTGGGGCCGCTGGCTTTGGCAGAGAGAAGTTTCGATTATTGGCGCGAGGGGGTGTAGGTGAGTGTGCATGAGAGTGCCCGTGTCGTGTGTGAGAGAGGTAGTGGACCACAGAAGGTACAAAGCCGGCTGGGGTGTTTTCTCTCTCGCTCTTCTGCACCCCACCCACTTCCCTGGGTTCGCGAAGCCGGCGCGCCACCAGGTCGCCTAGGCCATCTCAGGGCGGTGGGGGCCCTGGTTGGGGGGAGGTGGCAAGGTGGCTGCGCCCGCCGCGGGAGTTCTGGGGCGGACAGGACCTTGCATGGCCATTGTTGCTTAATTTATGCCCAGCACGTTGCTACGTACCCACCTATTTCACGTCTGTAAAGAATTAATATGAGAGCTATACAACTGTGGCAAATTGGAGCTTGGAGGCGTCCCCCGTTTTCCATTTTCAAGCACCAGTTAGCGAAAGTGATGTCGAGACTGGGTATTTTCTCTAGTAATTACCAGCTGCAGATCTGGCTTTATTGTGGCAAGAGTGGGCGAAATAGCCAAGCATTTAGTATTTACTCTTAATACTGCTGGGCTGGGCTGGGCTGGGCTGGGCTGGTCATCTCATCTCTACTTTTCTCCCCAAAGGCACGCGTTCTCTCCCCTCCCCCACTCATGTTCAGACCCTCCCCCTGGCTAAGATGCTAAACCTTCAACCCTAATCTACACTTGCACTTCTTACTCATCCTGTTTTGGAAGATGAAGGTGGCGGGAAGATGGAGATTGTCCCCACCCCAAGGCCTAAAACTGTCAACTCAAAGCTATAAAATGCTGGCTAAATATGAAAAACCAAAGTAGAGGGCAGACAATTAACTGGAAAAGAAAAAAGATTTTTTTTTTTCTAGTTGAAAATCAGTTCCCAAAGTTTTAAGTAAGCCAATGTGTATCTTTTGGTAGGAAATCTGGTGGGCCCTTAGACATCCTGGAAAAATGGCTTCTTAGTTGTAAGACTTGTAAGCATCTCACAAATTTGCAAAACAGAAAAATCGCCCTTATGCGATGATTTTCTTTTTTGTTTGAACTAGCTCTCTATTTGTTGCTGTAGTTTCCTGAGTCTGTCTTTCTACCTGCACTGCTCAGTCCTCCTCCCTCCTTTTATCCAGGTGCTGGGGCCTCGAAATTGATAAAGCTGGTCTGTTCGTGAATTCTCTAGGAAAAGGCCGTATTTGCTGGCAGAAGTGGTTGGGAAGACTCAGGCAACTCTGTTGAGATGAGGGCTCCCATAACTTCAAAGAAGTCAGTTTCAGGAAGGAGGGCCGAGGGCATTCCAGGAGTTGAGGCGAAGGTTGGCAAACTTCGTAGGCCATTTTCGCCCGACGTTGGGAGACAGTCCTTCTTAGCCATCCACGTGCCTGGGATGGGGATTTTATAATTACATGTTTTAGTGGGAGGTCAGAGTGGCGCAGGCGCTTTGTGCAGATTTTCACAGGAATCCGTACAAAGTCAATTAAGGTCATTTAATTGCAAATAGGATTTGGGGTGACAACTGAAATGCTGATCTAGAATAAATTAGCTAGCTATTTCCCCTCTCCTCAATGGAGTTTCCAAATTGAGGGAGGCTGGTCTCCATTGCAAACGTGGCCCAGGTCCCTACTTGACCATGCTTGATTAGACTCCGGCCTAGTGCAAATTTGCTGCCCCCACCCCGCCCTTGGTTACCAGAGTCCTTCCTATTGCTGCCACCCCATCACCCCCCCCTCCCGTTGCATGGGGGCGGGGAGCTCTGGGCGCCCTTAGCAGACCTTGCTGCATCAAACCCGCATCATGCCCTTGAAGCTGTAACCTCGGTCACGTTCTTGCGGCGACTCAGTCGCCCACTGCTCAGTTCCTTTCTCTTTGCCTCCTACGATTTCAGGTAGGTCTGACAGGTGATTTTCCTAAAGTCGTTTTTTTAGGGGGAAGGGTTAAAACGGAAGCATTTGCAATGGGCGGTGTGTGTGGGGAAGCCAACATGACAGGTGTTCTCATAATTAAGTGGCTGAGCAGGTGTAAAAAACGTGCACCCGCCGCGTGGCTGGGGAGGTCAGCTCTGACTCCCAGTCGTGGGCTAGTCCGAGGATGAGCACAGGTTTTCTAGGGGAAAGCGATTGAGTTGGGCGAGGGGGCGGGCCATGGGAAGGCAGCGGTGGGACGCCCCCTCGGTGAAGAGCTGGCCATTTCTGGGCTTCAGTGGGGGGGACGTGGGAAGGATGTGGCCAACGACAGGCACTTGCAGAGTCCAGTGCAGGCTTTCCCACTTTGCTTTTGAAGCAGAGTATAGCACCCCGCACAGGTACTCGGAGTTTACAGGAACCTTCAGTCTGGAGAGGCGGGGAGGTGCAGCGAGGGCTAAGCCTTTAATTTTCCGCCCAGGGATACGATCTTTTCTTTTGGTTGGGGAGTAAGGGAAAGACGTGTCGTTTCACCTTGTTTGCGCTACATACGTTTGCATATATTAGACACACATATATACCACAGTTAACCCCAGCACAAGCTGCTCTGGCTCTCGGTTAGCGCCCGGAGCCTCGCAAACTTGCACCTGCAATTGGCCGCCTCTAGGTCCGCAGCGCTCTCGGGGCAGCCGCGGCAGGCGGGTCGGAAGCCGGGGCCCTGGGGGTCAGAGACCACTGAGGGGGACCGAGCCGAGGGCCGCCCCGCATCGCCCAGCAGACAGCGACCCGCGGGCGGCGGCCTCCGAGCAGCCGCGGCCGCAGCGGTGGCGCCGCAAACTCCCCGGCGGCCCCGCCTCCTGGCGCCCTTCCAGGCAAGCCCCTCCTCCCCGCCCGCTACAAACGGCTGGACCGCGGCGCCCCGGCGTCACTGAGGCACAGCCGGCCGGCCAAGGAAGGCGCCAGCCGGCGTGGCGTGGGTGGGGCGGGGGTTCCGCCGGCTTCCAGCCCACCTTCGCGCCACCACCGGGACTGGGGACCCCGCCGCCGCCTCTCCGTGGAGCCCGCCCGGGAGCGACTCCGCCGCGGCCGTGCCTACTGCGGGCGACGCGAACCGTAGTAGCTGCACCTCCTCCGAGTCGGAGCAGGCAAGTGCGGGGGGAGCGTGGGGGCGGGGAGGGCGGCCGCG